TGTTAATTATGTATATTATTCATTTCATATTTAATTATTCTATTTCAATTATTTATTTGAATAAAAATAATAATATTTTATTCGATTTTTCATTTTACTATTTTTTTAATTAATTATCTTAATTGGTTAAGTAAGAAAATTATTATTCAGTTTCATTTATTCTTTAAATATTTCGTTAATTATGTATATTATTGATTTCATGTTTAATTACTCTATTTTGATTATTTATTTGAATTAAAATATATTAATATTTTCATTTAAGTATTTCTTTAATTAATTATATCAATTGTTTCCAAAATTAATTCACTAAACATATATTTATTATTAAACATACATTTATTATTTATTTCGTATATTTAATTACTAAACATATATTTAAGTCAAAATAAAAATAAATTTCTATTTAATCTATCTCTAAATTTCGTTCATTATCTTAACATATATATTATTTATTTCATATTTAATTAAATTTTTTAACATAAAAATTAAAATTGATTCAGAAAATAAAAAAAAAAGAAGAAAAATTCGGGTCCGAATCCGAACCACATGGTCCGCAACGGACCATGTTCGTTGCGGACCATTTTAATGGTCCATATGGTCTGTAACGGACCATAATTCGTTCCGACGATCGGTGCCGGCCTTCACTTCGGTTCTAATATTATTTTCTCTACCATTTAAAAAAATATATGACTTCAATAAAAACAAAATTAAATACTAGAAAAAGATACTTACCGAATTAAAGTGCTGAAATTTAATGAAATATTTTTGTTGAGGTTGATAGCTGATAAGTTTATGAAATTTTGAGGTTGAAGTGGATGAAAAATGAAAGAGTTTTTATCGTGTTAAAGTAAACTAGTGAAAAAGAGTGACTTCGTTTTCAAATCTCAATTGAGAGGTGTTTGGATTTAATTTGTAACTTAAGGATATTTTGGTCTTTTTAACAGATTTTTATTTTTGTAATTGAATAACTCATTTAAGGGTATACTTGTCTTTTACACAAAAATAGGCCTTTGGGGTGAATGTCAAATTTTTTTGGTTAAAGTGGAAAATTGGTTGTTTGACATGACTAATATTAAAAGTACCTCTAAATTCTTATTGCATATTATCAAGAAAATCTGATTACCAGAAAATTTGGAGCATTTTTGAATATACCAAACTGGGTTCAAGATATTTTGAAAGGGGGGGCGGGTTCAGAGTAAGGAGCTGTTGATCTTGAAGGGAGGAAAGCCTTTTTAGGGGAAAAAAAGTCAACTGCCTATTTGGATTGGAAGATTCTCTGCAACCCATTTTCATCCTCTGGACACTAAAATTAAAATGTATTCGTAATGAAACAAAATAAAATGCTGTTTTCAAGTTTTGATTCTTGGAGCACATCCAAACCCGACTGAAAGAACTTTGTGTTGATAGGTCTCTCGCTTCCTGTTGAAGGAAGTAGCTCGGTAAGACAATGACTAATAAGCTCGAATGAACAGTAGTTATCGTCAGGCGGAAGTTGACCGTCGATAATCGTAATAGTCAGATCATTTACGAAGATTTTGTTAAAAAAAAAAAAAATACCAAATACGCATGGGTATTGAGAGGCCAACATGACATCTTTTCAATTAATTTTTTTCCCTTTCCCCAGTTTCCGAACCATAAATTCCCAAATCAATAATCATAAGATTCATAACAATGTCTCATAAAGTATAAATTACTTATCCTAAATCACAATCACAATTCTCCATCACAAAACATAAATCATAAGTTCATAACTCATAATTTATAAGACTAATAAATAATAACAATTATTACAATTTACAGACATGAGATAACAACATTCGTTATTATTTATTCAACAAATCAAGTAAAAATAGCCAACAAAATAGAACAAAAACAATACCAAAAAAAAAAAAAGCAATAAAGTGGAACATAGACCACTCACCACTAGTCGACAGTCACCAGGCGAAAATCGCCCCAGCTGTCTGCTGACCAGAACGGGCACTGCGAGGTTGAAAGTCTCGAAACCCTAGAACGGTAGTCGAACTCGATAGAAGAAGAACCAAGCTTGAAACTTTTGGACTTGGCTAATGGCTCATGGCTGGCGGCATGGTTGAACAGAATTAGGAACTAGGAAGGGAGTTAGGGAGGAAAAGGCTTTGCAAATTGCAAGCTCTTGGATTTGGGAATGAGAAATTGATAGCCGATTGTGGAGATTGCTGTTTGGAATCGAACATTCGGACCCTTCTTCATTTGGATATTGTCGGACTCGGATTGGGGAATAACTTATTGCAATTTGTAAGCAAAATTGGGCCTAATTTTTTTAAACAAAAAAAGGCCCAAATAATGTCCAATTGTCCATGGACCAATGACCATTATGTGATCAATTCATCCTCCTCCATCAGCCGGCTGCCAGAGTGAAACCCAGGAAAAAAAAAGAATTTCTTTGAACTCATCTCATTCCTTTCACCTTCCAGCAACTTCACTGTTGCTACTCGGCGGCGCTGGCATTCTTGAACATTCCGGTGGAGCCAGCACGTGCGGCCACGCCCCCTCGCCTGGTGCTGGCTCTGCGCCTGATTATCGTTAGTAATAATTTCAAACGCCTTCGTCGAAAGGACGATTCAATTTGAAAGAGGTCAACCTGCTTGCTTCTCTTGTCCTAGACTTGAATAGATAAAGGTTTAGTACAACTCCAAATGTATCATCACTCGATTAATATTTTACATGCATTACTCCGCTTGTCCAACTTTTGACCGTGGCTCTTTGTGTCTTACACAGTTACACACCCAAATGTCCCTGTACACTCCTAGCACATTCTTGAGAGCAAATGTCACAAACATCTCAAAATTTAAATGTCAAAGAAAGAATTTTTTTATTTTTTTTATTATTATTATTTTTTTTTAGGAGAATGATTTTTTTCAATCTAACTTTTGATTGATGGAACTCTTTGAAGTACGCCACCTTCATAGTGATTTCAGCTTAATATCGTACCTAAACTGGCTCAATTAAAAATCAAGTCCAAACTAGTCCAAAACCTTCTTTCAAAGCCATAGATAGGATAGAATCCACAAGTTAATGGGCTTGGTTATTTATTTATTTTTATCCAAAATTTAATATGTTCTAATTGTTTATTTTAAAATTTCCCAGATAAAAACATTTTATTAAGCAGATTTCCATTCTTTTCAAATTCTTTGTTTTACATGATCATTTTCAACTACACATTCACGCTTCAGCACATAAATCCAAAATTTCTCTCTATTTTTTTTTAACTACATATTGTCCTAAAATGCTATTCAAAACTCCCTTTTTTTTTTTTTTTTTTTTTTTGGAAGAATGGCCACAGGGATTGAAAAAATTGGACCAATTATCATGCATATTGTTAGTTATTGAGTATTCGCTCTTATAATTTTGTATTATGCGTCGATGTCTTGTCTCATATGAATGATTGTGCACTGAAAACTAGATAGTGCCCATGTTTGAGCCCCATTTTTCAACTAAAATACATTTTTCAATAGCGATTTGATATCATTTCAATCACACATTCTTCAATAAAATAATATTATACGCAAATCAAAAACTTTTTGTTATTTTTTAACCACACATTTTCCATCAATACATTATTCAAAAATTCATTTTCTTTACAAAAATGGGGCTTAAACAAGGGGAGTAATTCAACGGGTCTATTGTCATTAAAACTTGAAAAAAATGACAATTCTAAGGGAGATATTTAACTTTTATAATTTATTTAACTAAATTTTAGGCATGCACTTTTTTGAGTCACATTATTTTTCTTAGAATACATTTTTGAATAGTGTATTGATGAGAAATGTATGGTTAAAAAATAAAGAAAATTTTTGAATTTGCGTGTAATATTATTTTATTGAAAAATGTGTGATTGAAATGATGTCAAATTACTATTTAAAAATGTATTTTTTTTTGAAAAAATGTGGCTGAAACATGGCCTATATATAATTTGGTGAATTTTCGAAAATTGTATTTATAAAAATAAATTTTATCAGTTAATCTAATGTTGGATCTAGTATTCATCGCTCTTCATTCTGACCTACCAACAAAAACGTCGAAGATGCCCATTGCAATTTCAAAAAATCTTTAATCTGTTCATCAATTGCTGTAAAACCTTAGTAACACACAGATTCATCAAATATTTTGCAATGTATTAATTTCCCCAAATTTGAGAATTTCCTGAAAATGCCACCGCCGAGTAAACCCTCCCGGAGATTTTCTTTCTTCGGTCTCGTCACCGGGGGTGATAATACCGCTAAAGACGATCTGGAGTTGCCGCAGCTGAACTTGGAAGCGGACAGGGAAGTCTATAGACCGGGAGATCCATTGACTATCACGATTGAAATAAAAAACCCAACACCCGAATGGTCACTTTTGATTGAAAAGCTTAACTTCGAGATTAAAGGGATTGAAAAATTGGACCCTCAATGGTTCAACACTCCCAAGCCCACTCCTCACTTGAAGCAACGACGAGGTATATTCCGTTTATTATCTCTCTTTTCAGTTATTTTTTGTTATTTAGTTACTTGTCTCATTTTGGTGGAGTTTTTTTTTTTTAATGTGGGTTTTGCTCTTGAATTAGTGGGCAGGAATTTTGCTTCTTTTAACTCAAATAATGTACATGAAATNACATTGAACTTTGATATGTCTTTCGCATGCATATATGGGTTGTAGGCTATTTGAAGGTATGTACTACCTGTGTAATAACTCAATCTTTATATTCTAGTTTTAACATGAAATGGCATGAAATGAAAGTAGAATTTATAAGGGAAGCTAGATCTCAAAACGTTACAATAAAGACAAAAATAAAAAGAACTGCATACTGTACAATTATCATCTACATTGTACTTGCTTAAATGTAATAATGTGTTATTTATTTCTTTTCAGGGGAGTATGTTTTCATGGATTGCTCAACTCTCACAGTGGTTTCCAATCAAATTCTTTCATGTGGGACCACTAAAACTTGTAAGCCTAAGTAAATATTGTTAAATATGCCCTGTGGTTGGTTGTAATGGAGCTGTCAACTAATTTATTGAAGTTCAAACTCCATCATGTGGGTTACTGGATCTTGTAATCATGTTGAAATTCATTTCTTGACGCTCACTATTTTTGTTGCTAGATGCTCACTTCGTAATAGATATTATGGATGGTCATTTTTGTTTCTTTTCACCAAAACAAATTAAAGTCAACTGGTTATCTCAAATTCAGTGAAGCACCCAACAGTTTTGATCTCCTTCTCACGCAACTTTGAATACTTTATCATTCATCTAACTTGTTGATTTCATGCTCGTCCATTGGGTGCTGTACATTGTTTCCTTTCAGATATGGTGCGCACACTTCTGCCAACCATTATACCACCATCATACAGAGGTGCAGCCATTCGTTATCTGTACTATGTAAGGTGTGCATTGTCTGGCCAATATCTGAATTTGGAAAATGGATCCTCTCATGAGGGGTCAATACGAGATCTTTCTGAGCTGGTTAGTTTTTCATAATCCTTTTTGCCTTTTTATGAATGCTGAATTAGTGTTTCATTTGATTCTTCTACAACTTCAATCCTAGCCACTTTGTTTCTGAAGGTAATTTTTCCGAAATTTTCTCGATAAAGGATTTATAGATATTTCCAAATTTGTATATCTGGATATTACAATGGATATATGGTCTCAACAGTGATCTCTTTTTATTTTAGTATTTTCAATTAACTGTAGTCTCTTGCTTCTCCTTTCATTGTAGGAAGTGATGCTTGATTGTTCCTTCATAGTCTGTTTTTCCATTATATATTTTTAACTCCCAGGAGACAATAGATACTTATATTTATTCTTCCTTCCGTTTTGTGAGGAAATAATCCAAATACCAAAGATGTTGAGATGATATGATCAAATAGTGTGTTTCTTTGTGAATAATTAGAAAGGTGTTTCTTTTTTCTAATTATTATTGTTCGTTTCATGCTTTTTTAAAAATTTCATGCTGTCTTCAATACCTCAAACTCTGCAGGAATCTCGAATACCATTTCAAGTATGGGTCAGTCAGGAAAACAATGGGTTGCAGAGTGAAGAAGCTTGCAATGACGGTAAATTTTTCTGGCACGTCCCCTTGTGTTTGTCCATGAAACTAATAGCTTGTGTTACAGCTATCTAATTCTTATTCTTTTTCCTTTCCCCCCTCTCCTCCTTGATAAGTGTTTTGGGTTAAAAATTGGCTATTGAGTGGCTTGAAAGCTGTCACATTTCCCATGTCTTTGATCTGAAGCAATATAAATTTTCTTGGGATTCAAAACTGCCTTTGTTGAAGGATAATGTTTAGTGGAACATTTTCTTTAGGGTGTTCTCATTATAGTTAATTCTGTGTGTTAATGCTAAAAACCCGTT